ATTGACTCCTTGAATCCTCACTCTTTGCAAAGTGACTTTCCAGCTTCTCCCATCAAGTCAGTTTCCCCACCTTTGAATCTAGGTCCACTTTGTGACTTGCCACGGCCAATAGAATGTAGCAGAAATGATGGTACCAGTTCAAAGTTAGGTCCCAAGATGTCTTGCAGCTTCTCCTCTCCCCCTTGGAGCCCTGCTACCACCATGAGCGTTAAGCCCCAGTTACCAGCTGGGGCATAAGAGACGTGTGACCCAGGCAGGCACCCCAGCCCAGCTGACAGCCAGCCCCCAGCTGACCGCATAGGCGTAGAAGCAATTCCAGCCATGCTAAACTGGGTTGTGAGGAAGAATTAAGAACATTAGCATATACTGTACAATGACTCTGCCAACATAAGATATTACTTTTCAAAAGCATTTTTGTTATTGTGAATCCGTGTGTGGACATACTTAATATAGCACTCTGAGGATTGTTGGAAAGCAAAGGATGCAAACTGAAATTGAGAGTAAAATATACCAGTATATCCAAATTCACATATTTTTATAAATTAGTAGACAATCATCTGAAGAAAAACAGATGAATGGAAAAAACAGTCCCAAGAACAGGAAGTGTGGAGAAACACGTCAGTTTAACAGCAACTAGTACATCCCTATGATGGAAAGTAAATGTTTGGTTCTTTGTTTAATTTTGATCACAAAAATGTTATTTGATTTGCACATACTTGGAAGAAAACAAAACATTAAGATTATCTGTTGGTTTGAAAACTGGCCCCTATACACAGGGCAAGGAGACACCGAAGAAAGAGGCAGACCTCTCCAGATTGGCAGGTGGTGGATTTAACAAGCACATGAGCCTACGTACAAGGCTTGCCTTGGTCAGCCAAAAGACAAATAGGTCTCAGCACCCACCCACCAGAATTTTGAGTTATACAGGGACCTTAACAGGGGTCAATCACCTATACTTTCCTGATGGTCTCAAGAACACATTGCTCTCTCAAGGCTGCATCCTTGAAAATGGTTCCCACTGTGGGAATGGTGGGCAGAACGTACCTTTCAAGGATGAGGAAAGAGGGGAGGAGCCTCTGATCACCCAGGTCCAGCTCTCGGGTCAACTGGCGGTCATGTCCTCTCAATGACTCTGCCAACATGTCAACAAGGAAGGATGCCAGCAAAGATAGCCTAGGGCAGAAACTACTCAACTTATTATAATGAATGCCAGGGCAACCCAAGCAAATAGATTTACAAGCCTATGTAGGATTTGAGAGTGGGAAGCATTTGAGGACTACCCCTGGGCTGGTACTGACCTCCCCCCACCCAAAGGGACAAGAAGAGCAGAAACCTGGGTGGGGTCAAGAGAGAGAACAAAGAAAGGCAAGGCTGGATGTGTAGCAATCTGTGGATCCACGAGTGTGTGTTTCAGAACTTTTGGGGCTCTGCAGACCAGCTACTCTTCCATTCTCCTTGACCCCAGTCAAGGCTGGCCCATTCAGGCTGCCAAATCACTTTCACTTGTCCATGGAGTTGACAGTTACTTGCTCCAAGTGAACCAGCCTCTCTGGACCTAACAGCTACTGCAGGAGTGGAGTGGTGGAGAGCAAGTCTACAACAACAACCAGACGAGATGGAGGAAGAAATGCTCAGTGGCCCGACTGCATGCATGGATCGTGCAGGGTTAAGTTCTGAAGAGCTAACGGGGGCAGATGTAGACAAAACAAAAGGGAAGGGGAATCATGAGGATACAGTCAAGTCCTATCATATGGCTATTTCGTCTAAATATTTTATACAAATTTCATTAAATTTGCTCCAAATAAAAAAAGAGGGAACAGAATTACCATGTAAACCATGTGAGTGATTTTACTTACTCACTCAATGAGCTCCTGGCCCAGAGTCAGAGGGAAATAGAAGCTGTGAATCTGCCAGTTCTCAGGTCACTGAGTCTCAGGTCACTGAAGCCTCTCAGAGACAAGATATCTCACCTTTTGCATTTTCATAAAGCAACATTATTCCTAAGTGTGAGTCGCCCCCTTCATCATTTCCCCAAGAAACAGCAATCTCTCTCAATGCTAGAGGAAAAAGGGGCTACTTTGGCTTTTTGAAAAACAATATGTTGGTCTCCCAAATGGTATAAACCCTAGGGGGTTTTTGAAGATCAACCATCCTCAGTGATTATTTTTGTCTTCATACAGCATATGACCCAGATGTGCTGAGAAATTAAAAAAAAAGGACCGCAAATGAATGACAGCTGATCCAAGGAGTGGAGTGGCAACCCCAGAGTCTGTGTGGAAAGCTAGAGAAGGAATGTCTGGGGGGTGGGAGCTCAAGACAGGAGCCAGTCCTCCATGGGCTCGGAGGCCGCCCTCTCTTCCTTCGCCTTCACCTGCTCTTTCTCTGTGGGCCCCTCCCACCCAGGGAACAGCCCCGGAGGCTCTCCCCTGGGGAAACGCCCTCCTCCTCCATTCTATTCCCATGCCCTTCTACCCACCCCTCTTCTCTTTCCCTTTGCCCTCAGATCTTTTGACTTGACCCCCATCACTCCCCTCCCATCTAAAATTCAGCCCACTGAGATCCGGTTTCTGTCCCTCCACTCTCATAAAACTGCTCTCCTTGAAGCCCCTGAGATGATTTCTTTGTTGACAAGTCCAAAAGACTACTTCTCAATCCTCATCTACGTGACCTCCACTCCAAGTTGTATCTTAAACAATGTCTTTGTCTTGAAAATCTCTTTCCTTGGCTTCTGTGTCACCCAAACATCCCGATAGTTTCCTCTCTCTCCCCGTGCCCTCTCAGTCTCTTTCTGCACTAACCTTTCTTTGGGTATTTCTCAGGGCTCTGTATTAGGCTCTCTGCTCTTCATCCTCTCAGCCAACTCCCCAGAGGAGCTCCCCACTAGTTTCAATTACCTAAATCTGTCTTCATTTAAGACCACTCTCTGCAGCTAAGCAGGAACTGGAATCTCAAGGGATAGGGGCTGCCTGGTGGGGCAGGGACTCAGGGGCAAAGCAGCCACCAGTTCTGCTGCAGGTGCCTGAACAGAGAGCAGAGGAGGAGGGAGAAATCCATTGGTTTCTCCCTTCCTCCTGCCCTCTAACATTTGGCCAGTGCTTTCCTTTGGCTGAACCTGCCTGGGAAAGAGGTGGCGAGGAAATCCGGGAGATGGGGTTTGCAGGGTCAGCCCCCTGACACGAAGCAGAGCAGAGGAAATGTAGGGAGTGGGTCTGAAGCAAACAGGCAAATGGCAGCAACATACTCACTTCTCCCTGCCTCACCTGTCCCTTTGAGTGGAACCATTTTCTGCTCCTTAAGTAACTCATTCTTGCCCTTTCTCTTCCCCTCAGCTCCCACATCTAATTGTCCATCCTCTAAGTAGCTCATCCATTCCTCTCTCTTCCTCACAGCATGGCCATCACTTACCATCATGACTACCACAGGCACCGCTCTCCCTTCTCCCGTCTCCAGGCCCCTCATCCAGTCAGTCACTACACTCCAGTCAGAAGGATTTTTTTTCTCAAATGCATAACTTCCATCACTCTGCTGCTTCAAATCCTACAATGGCTGGCCCATTGTGCTTCCATGGCAGGACTTTGTTGCCTCTCCAGGCTTCCCTCTCCTGGCCAAGTCCTCCAACCTCCATGCTCCCACGTCCTGAACCTCATGCTCCTGAATTTCCTGGGGCAGCTCTCCAGTCTGGGCCATCACATGTGCTTTCCTTTTTCTTCACTGGACACCCCCCTATCCGCCGCCTCGTCTGACTTAACCCCTATTTCGTTGGCCTCAGTGGCAGTCCTTCTAGGAAGCCTTCCTCGGCCCTCCTCGCATGTACTCCCTTGTGCCCTCCACTTCCCTGGTGATAGGGTTAGTAGATTTAACAAATAAACCATACAAGTTTAACTGGGCATCCTGTATTTTATCTGGCTACCCTACCTGAGACGCACTTGTCCTAGAGTATGACAATTGCATGCTTACTTTTCCATTTTCCTTCTAGGCTCCAGATCACTTGAGGATAATAATCTTGTCAATACTGTTCCCCATTTTGCTAAATACTTGGATGAAGGGATGAGTGACTTGTGGATGGGAGTTTTTACTTGAAATCATACAGGACTGACTACAGCCCTAAACAGGAGAGATGCTTAAGAGACTAAAAGGAGGCTAATGACAATGACTCATCCAAGCTGAGGCTCCTAGGTTAGTTCTGGGCCAGGCTTTCAGGGTGTGAGAGAGGGACTTAGAGGAGGAAACTGCAGCTAAAGGGAAACGACAACAGAGTGACACTGGAAATGATCATTTAGTACTTTCAGCCTGCACAAGCTCACGGACTAACTTCAGCTGGTTTGGGGATTGCTCTGGCTCAGTGCTGAGTCCTGCACACAGCTATAAAGTTTGTGCTCCTGCTGCTGGGATAAAAGGGTGGGAAAGTCCAGGAGGGTGATGCCAACGATCATCTGACTTTTTTTTACCTTTCTAAAAGAAAGCTTCAACCTTGCTATTTTCAGATGCAGTACCCAAAGGTCAGTAGGGAACAAATATGAAAGAAGCAGGCAGGGTGGAAGAAAGTCCAATCAGAGCACACCATCAAAAGAGGCAGCCTCTTCTGGCTCCAGATAAATGTCCATGCTGAAATGCAGGCCCAAATCTCCTACCCCTTCAGGAAAAGACGAGAATCAAGATGCTAATGCTTCATCTCACGATTTTCTATGGGGCCATGAAGTTAATGATAAGTATTGAATGATTTGAACAAAACACAAGTCTTAGTAATCTGTGTGGGCTTCCAAGACTTGACAATGGAATCAATATGGATCTCCAGACTGAGATCCCATCAACCTGCAAACCTCAGGCAGATGTCGATTCAACTTGCAGGAGCCTCTAGTTGAGAATGAATGCTCCGCGGAATCTAGCAAAGCATTTGCTAATTTCGGCTCTGGGCCGAAATCTTCCATTAACATCAGTCAGGCCTGAACGTAGATAATCTGCCCATGCTATCAATATAGTCATCTATATGCTTAGTCAACATTTATTGAATATTACACAGAGAGGGTCTGGTGGTCAGTAGATAGTGAAAAGAGGTCATTGAAGACACTCTACATTGAACAATATGCTGCTGGGAGAATCAGGGAGGGCTCCATGGGGGAGGTGACTGGGGAACATCAGCTGGAGCATTAATTTGAACTTAACTCTTTATAAAATACGTTAGATCGCCCTGGATTTAAATGCATCAGAAATTCAGTAGTATTTCTCCCGGTATAACTTACAGCAGAGTATTTGCTGCCTGAGGTTATTAACCTGCTCACTGGTCATTTCCCAAGAACTCCTGAAGATTTCTGCTTCAACCCCTGGACTTTCAGCCTAAAGAAACTATGGTTTTAAAGTGGGGAAGGGAACGGAAGGAATGATTCAGCCTCTAACTGCTTTTACTCTGCTGGATAAGATCTTTATTTTTTTTCCCCCAGAATAACCTGTAACTTCCTGTATTTCTTATGTTTCAACTTCAAGTTTCATTTCTTGGGCATTTAAGATGGCATTTCACATGGCTAGATAGAAGCCAAGATTTTATTTTTCTCTTGGGAGCTATTCTGCTAGGCTAGCGTCATCAGAGGCAACTTTAACTTTAGGTCGTTATATAGACGACATCTTTCAAAGTATAATCAGGCTCTGTGGTTCATGATCTGGTTATTAGATTAAAGGCCTGTGTGGCCAAAGGGCTATACTTCTAAAAATATTGAGAAATAAACAAACTTGACTAAACAGGTAAGGAAAATTCTACAAGCTGGTCCCTATATCTTGACCAGGGGATTCTTTTTCTTCTTTTCTCGTTCACCAAAAAGCACACCTGTCTGTCCTGTTTGCATTCTCAAAATATGTTTGTTACTCTCAGGGCTCCTGGAAGATATATCCTCCAACAGATGCCTTTCAACTTCCTAATGAACCGTTTCACACACTTTTGCTTGTATTTTAGGATTTTTTCCCCACTCTGGAAGAGAGGAGAGTGGGTTGTAAAAAATACTAGTGGAAAATAAGCATGAAGAACAACTTCACCTTCACCATCAAATAAATCCATCAGTATTATCCATTTTATGGAGGAGATATGCAATTCAGAAGTTTGATGAAGAACAGGATACTTCCAGAATCTCAAAATATCTCTCTATAAATTACTCTTTAACTTGACAGTGGAGAAACTTCATGGGCACTACGTTAACCAAGAGGCTAATGAGACAGACAGCCATCAGATACCTCCTGCTAGGACGCATCAGGGGACGCACCATCACTTCTGTGGAGCCCCCACCAAAAGCGCGTAACCAGAAATGATCACGAGGAAGCAGAGGACGAACCCAAACTGAGGATCGTTCTACATGACGACGAGCCTCTACTCTTCACAAACTGTCAATGTGAAGAACGAAGAGGCTGAAGAACTGTTTCATATTTGGACCAAAGTCACATGAGAATTAAGTGCAATGCATGATTGTGGACTGGTTCCTGGGCTGAAAAAATTAGCCATTAAAGGATGTTACTGGAATAAGTGGCAAAATTTGAACATGGACAGTAGATGAGTCAACAGTATCGACGTTAAATTTCTGACTTAGACTGTTGTGCTGTGGTTTTGTAAGAAAATGTTGTTGTCCTCAGGAAATAATCACTTTTTAGAGGTAATGGGGCACAATATCTCCTTCCTTACCTTTGAGTGGCTAAGGGAAAAGAAACATGTATATATGGAGAGAAAATGAAGGCCAAAGCAAATAAAGCTGAATGTTAATAATCAATGAATCTAGGTAAGACACACACAAGAGTTCTCTGTAGTAATATCGCAAATTTTCTTTAAGTTTGAAGTTATATCTATCTAGAACTATCTATCTACACCTATATAGATATATAGAATGCACACACACAATTTAAAATAAATGTATAACCCAGTGCATCATCCTAAAACCCAGCCTGTTCCTCAGGTATCATTAGACAATCTAAAGAGAAAGAAAGGCTAGGATACCAACAGGGGCCAGGTCTGTACATCAGTTTCTACTAACTGAAATTATGCTTTCATTTGAATGATACGTTTTAAACTTCCTTAAACTCAGTGCCAATTACTTACACATTTAGACGGTCAACGTACAAATTCCATACTTTTCCCCAAGTGAGGCCCAAGGTTGTCAAGATTCTCGTGTGCTAACAAGTAAGCAGGGCCAGTTTCTATAACCTAACTAAAGAGCTTCCGTGTACACAAACTTTTTCTAACATGCCCAGTTCCTTATTTTCTTCGAAAATCCTATTTCCATCTCTGGGATTTCAAATACCAAGCTCTTGCTTTTGTCACATCCAATGAACTGTTTTATTCTGTAGCTTCCTAAGAAGAAATTCAATAAATCTTTGCTCACTGCTAACTTTTCTGTCTCTCTCCCAATATCTCCTTGATCAAGCTTTTCCATCCACTCTGGAAGAATCCAGGGATAATTAGAATGTCTTACCTTCTTTAGCCCAAAAGGAGCCAATTTATCACAAACTGTCATGGATTCCGATTCTAAATTACCACGAGCCCAATTACTAACAGAGGCAAGGAATCTTCTTTCCAATTAAAGTGATTGATTTCTTTGCAGACGCAGTAGCATTTCACTCTTTAATTATGTTCATTCTGATCAAATGTGAGAAAATTCTTCCTCATTTTATTTTCCTTCCAAAGAACATGGTAAAACAAGCATTAATCACGGCGTGATACAAGCCCAGACCTGCTAGTGCCTTCGGCAGAACTCGACATCTATCAATGGGCCTTGTCCATTTTATGGGTTTTAGTGGCTCCTGAAGCTCTAAAGGGGAGAGAGGGAATAATTATTTGTTACATCACATGGTTCACCCAAGGGCTTGCCAAACCTTCTAGCATCTGCTAAGTTGTGATGAGACAGCATTAGCTGTTTAGGTAAACATAAACTAGGACAGAACAGGGCAGTTTTATTTCCTGTGCAAAGAACAGAACCGCAGTGCTGGGGACAGAACAGTGAGTGGAGGTAAACTTAAGCAACATGGGGACAAATTTGCTTTTTCTTGCTTGGCATTGACATGATTATGCGCTATCAAATTTTGAAAGAGAAAAAAAAGTTCAAGATAAGTTTGGGGGAAGAAGGACAATTTGGAGGATCTGAAGGAACCTGAGGCCACCAAGGCTTACACAGGTTCCCGAAGGCCTGAAAGACGCTTGTCTGTCTACTTGGCCTTTAATCTTCAAGACTGGCCAGTTGTGGCTCCCGCAGACTGCTGACCTGGGAGCCTGCATCCTTATCTCCCCATCCACCTCTCTCCATGTGTCAGCAGACGGGCATTAGTGTGTTCACTTGAGACATACAAAGGTCAAGGCTTTTGCTCGGTGAGTATCTTCCAGAAATCCGTGCTGCAGAACCTCCGTGTCCAGACAACAGTGACTACCTTTCTTTGTACTTAGACGAATGCAGTTGCCAACCATTTTCCAAAAGCTTTCACAGGTATCTCTAGATGAGTCTGGAAGCCCTCCAAGATTCTAAATTTTAGTAAAAAATGAAATTGTACTATATATTCAGCTTTAGAAAATTTTTTTTAAAATCCATGTACATGAAAATTTTTAAAAAATCTGCCTTTACTGCAGGCTATTTGTGAAATTCAGGAAGACCTGACTTCCCTGTTCATTAAACAGACAGTTGAGCACCTCCCAGGGGCCAGGCAGGAGGCCAGGTGATGGAGGTAGAGAAACAAGGCTTGTTCCACACTGCTCTAGTGGGAAAAGAGGAAAAGCCGACACCTCAGTACGGTAAAGAACAGAACAGAGGCACCGTGATGGGATAAAAGGGTCACCCTTGTAAGAACAAGGGACAAGAGCATCACTCCAATGGAGGAGACATAAACAAGGTCAGGAGGCTGGCAGGTGCCTTGAAGGAAGGTCAGTCTTGCAGAGTCGGGGCAGGAACTCCAGGCTTACCTGTCGTATTGTGGGCATATGCTTGTCACATTCCAAGAACCAGAACCACAAGAAACCACAAGAAAGAATAAGCCAGACCAGATGCTACAAAGCTGTGACTTCTGGACTAAGAAGCCTGGGCTTTTTTATGTACCAAGGAGGACCGTGAGGGGAAGTGATCATCCAATCGGCCGTGCTGGTAGGGGCTGGTGGGGGCAGATGAGGCTGCCGAAATGATCCCCTGAGAGCCGACAGAGCTGGCTGCGGCAATGGGAATAGAAATAAGCAGAGATTCAAGAGATGTGGGGCTGCTACAAACCACAGGGACTTGCAACCATCATATGAATGGATGATGAAGGAGGAGAAATAGAATAAATATGTGAACACCTGGTTGGATTCCATGAGCTGGCTGGCTTTTGCTATTTAAATATTTGTTGTGGTTATTGTCCACACCCTGCACTGAACCCTTGTTTTAAGCCCTTAAACATCCCTGAGATGAGTAAAGGAATTATTTCAACCCTCCTTTTTACAGACGAGAGAACCAAGACTGGGGAGGCTTAGCCCTAAGCAGGGGAACCCAACTAACCAGCTAATGGATGCAGAGCTGGTACCAAAGATCAGTACAGTCCTCAATTACACAAACTAACAAAATGCAGAGATAGCTCAAAACCGTCCTCCTGGTGTATTTCTGGCCCAAGTGGGACAAAGTTCATAGAACTTTATACCATGGGCTGTGTTGTAAGGTGGTGTGTTGGTAATGTCCATTCCAAAAGCCAATGGAAAGCTACCAGCGTGCTGAATCATTAAAAACACAAATGGGAGGACTCAGGTCTCACATCTTTGGTTGAACAAAAATACCCTTATCAGATGCTACTTTCAGACTCAAGTTTTCCCAGCATGAAGTTTAAAAAAAAAAAACTGCCTAAAACGGGGGTAAAGAAATTTACTGACAAAGGTTTAGATGTTTTAGGACTTTAATGTCCTTCACATGTTCAACAAAAAACACTGACCACAGATGAACAATAGGGGAAAAGACTCTTCAGCAATGATCTTCCAGAACTCACAGCATCACTGGTCAAATACCATAAAGAGAACAGTCACGTGAACAAACAATAAGGGAGTCTAACAGACACTTTCAGTTTAACAGCATAAATGAAAAATGAAGAACCGATCAACCATCCTTTCTTCTACCCACAGAAATGAGTAAAAGTGAATCAAGGAGCTTCCAAATCTTGTGAAACAGCTCAAAAAGGGAAGTGGATGTGGGGAGGAGGGACATAACTGTCGAGAATGCAACACTATAACGCACAAGGTCAGGGAGCCTAACAAATTCTCAGTCTCTACGTATATCTTCGAGAACCTTGTTATTAGAAATATAAATTCATAGAGCTATATAAACTATTTGGTATTAAAAACAGACCTTGCTATAGAAACGAGTATTATGTGATTTTTCTCTCTTTATGATAATAACAGTATAAAGAAAGATCTCCAGTTTGCTCTTTAGTCTAGAACTCCTAAACAGTCACCACACGGCTGGAACTCAGGAGACCTCACTGCTATCATTTTCCAAAGGCTCAAAATTCCCACCTACCCTCCATGCTGTGTGCTTGTGTGTCTCTAAACATAATTATCTGCAATTTGCATCCTTAAACCCACAGGCAGCTTTGAATATGAGATTTAGGTAGAAAAAGTAGCAGCAAAGACCACATAAGCTAGTAACCATTAGAAAAGCAAGAAGAAGATTTTTTTAAAATGCTTCCAGTTCAAGTCAGAATTAAGATTAAGTCCCAACAGCTTTGCAGAGCTGTGGAATGTGTTGCTGTTGTTCTCTGAAAAAAAGAACCTATCATAAGTATATTCATTCGAGAAAAATACCAATACCATGCTTGTTAAGTGTTTGTAGCCATTCCCTAATTACTTTCAATTTTGTACATTGTTCAGGGCAGAGTATATGTTGACGAGGGTGTGCTCATAGCTGGTGCATCTCCAAAAAATTCTTCATGAAGGCCGCCAGCTTCTGGACGTCTTCGATGGTGACAGCATTATACAGAGAGGCCCGGATGCCTCCCACAGACCTAGAAGAACCACAGATGCAGCCATTAGGAACAAAAGCATCTGGGGAGAGGTATAGCTCAGTGGGAGAGCACATGCTTAACATCTACGAGGTCCTGGGCTCAATCCCCAGTATCTCCAACAAAAAAAAAAAAAAAGAACGCAAGCATCTGATTTAGCATCAAGATGACTCCTCCTTCCGGTCACCTGCTCCTGGGAGAGTCATGGTACCTGACCATCGTGTCCCACCTCCCATGTGAAAGCCTCCACAGGTGGTCAGACATCTCAGTCACTAGGAAATTCCTCCTAATGTAGTGAAGGACCATCATGCTCACACATAGCCTAGATTAACTTAATGATTCGGTGAGTCTGGGTCTGGGGGGCGGGGGGCTGGCTGGCAGCTACTGTTGTGAGTGAGGACATATATTTTTCACTGCACACGTGGGATGAACGACTCTCTCTGATGTTCAGCAGGACCAACAGTGATCTGCTCTTACACTGAACGGGGTGGTGCCAGCCGCACCAGAGATAAGAGGGTGACCTCTGTGCTGTCAGAGCAAAGAGATTTTTCAAAGGTAATTTTGAGAAAAGCCCCCAGAAGGCATGGCTCTGCCGTGCTCTCCACCCAGGAACCATGCTAAGGGTTCCACAAACAACAGGAGGATCTGATTCTTCCCAACAAGTTACAGTAACTGCTACTTCACGCTGAGATGGTGCCCATGTGTGTTTCCTTCTGCATCTGAACACTAAACTAAGTCTCTGATAAGCTTCTGGATGGGACATGTACTCACCTATGCCCTTTCAGGGAGATCATGTGGAGTTCAAGAGCTTTATCCAGAAATCTTTTTTCTAAAGCATCATCTCCTTTGCTGTTGCCAATGCGGAATGGAATATTCATCTTGCTTCTATTCTGGGGCTCCACTGGACATCTGAAAAACATGTTTATGGTTCCAACTACTTTTCTGCAATGTGCAACTGCCATGAACAAAACAGAAAAATTTAAAAAAACATTTCCTAGATGCAAACAAGAGATTAAAAAAAAAAAGATCTGCCCAGAACATTTATAATTTACTCAGGAAGACCACTCTTGTAGGTGGAACAATGCATTAGCATTTTCTTATACGACTTGTACTTAATTTTCATAAGCCTCAGTTTCCTCATCTGAATATTGAGAATATTAATAATCCCTCCATTTCAGACTAGTTGTGACATTTCAGTGGTATAACATACACGAAACTTCCAACCCACAGCAGCCACAGCCGCAGGGCTCTGTGAGGGACTCTTTCTCCAAAAGGCTGCAGAGGAAAAGTAGTAAGTTGGTCCTAATAGCAACTGTAAGACTTAAAAACAATGAGCAGCAGCTTTCAAAGCACTTAGAACACGGTATTGCCCCAAGCTGCGTGACCTTGAACAAGTTACTAAATCTCTCTCTTGTGCCTCACTTTCCTCATCTATTAAATAGCAGGAAGGCTAATGGAACATAGCACTAAGGCTGATGAGAGGATTCAATGAGCCAGTATTTGCAGAGAATTTTTGTGGTACATTTGAAAATGGTCACAAATTCCTGCAACCCTCCCAGCAAGAGGTAGGGTCTCGTTCTTTACATCTTTTGAATCTGGGCTGAACTTGTGACTCGCTTTGGCCAAGACTGCAACAGAAGTGATGCTGTGCAACTTCCAAGCTGAGGCCTCAAGGAGCAGGCAGCTTCTCTACCTGCCCGCTTAAGATACGGCTGCTGTGTAAGCAAGCCCTAGCTGGCCTGCTGGAAATAACAGTCCCAGCTAACAGCTGGCACCAGCCGCCAGACAGGTGAGTGAGGCCATGTCAGACCACTGCCTCCGGTTGAATAAGCGATCCCAGGGTAGACCAGCAGAAGAAACCACCCAGCTGAGCCCAGCCCAACCTGCTGACCAAAAGAATCCTGAGCAAAGACGATAGCTGTTTAGTCACTGTCTTGGAGTATCCTGTGATGCAAAAGCGGATAGCCAATACAATCTAGAACACTGTCTGGAACACATTAAGTACTGTTATAGGGATCTGTTCAGGTCAACAAATTTGTCTCTTTTTTCCCAGCATCTTACACAGAGCTCGTACAGACTCTCAAAAATGAATGATGAGTCCATTTTCATATAGAATAGGTTAGTATTTGACTTCAGTGTCTGATCTGGAAAGTAAGCATGCCAGAATTATTTTCCACTGACAACCAAAGGAGACGAATAGGAGAGTGGACACGCTACTCCGGAATAAAAGGAAAATCTGTAATAACCCGCCTTCTCCATTTTCTCAAGTACACCCTGTTTTATTCTTGCACTTCTACAGGAAGGGATTCATTACAATTAAACAGCAAATAAAAGCAGCATGAGGAAGCCCCCATTAAAAGTCAGGCTCGCCCCTGAGGACACACACATAATTCCTGTTAAAGTTAACAGGAGTCAAGCGCACATCTACGGGCAGAAGAAATGTAAGAAGGGAAATCAAATAGATGGTAATAGGCTTTGAGCCTGAATTCTGGGCTGCCCTTATTCACAGGTAGTAGGTTTCCTGGCAGACATTTAAATTAAAATTTTAGTGGCTACCCTCTTTCGATATTCTGCTGCCTCGGGCTCCCAACGTGAGGGTCCAATTATAGAGCTGGAACAGCAAAAAGGACTTCTGACTTAAGGGGAAAAAAGGAGAAAGGGGAAGAATTCAGAACCTGGATTTACACAGAATCCTCCCCCACAAAGGTACTTGTCCTCTTGTGAAAATAAATGGTATTCATGATAGCAATGATGCCATAAAAACTAGACATTGAGGATGAAATTGGCATGCAACAGATATTTGCACAGTGCCCAAGAGTGTCTCTGGTATGGGGCTGAAAGGAAGGGGAAAAAAAGATGAAGGGAATTAGCTGCTCCCGACCCAGCGAGACGGCTGTGGAGGGAATTAAAATTCCATGGGACCAGTGCTGTGGAAGCACAGAGCTGAGTAAGTAATTCTGCCCAAGAGAAGGCTGAACGTTTCAGAGGAAGGGACATGGGAATGGTTAGGACAGGGTGAGAGGAAGGAAGAGCATCTGGCAGAGAGCTGAGTCTTCAGAGGCATGGAGGACCTGGGCAAGTTCTCTGCAGCAACTGGACTACTGGGTGCCTGGTCGAGGGTAGAACTGCAGGCTGTGGACAGCCCAGCAGATCTGCACTCCTGGGACCTGGACTGGATGCTCGAGTGATGGGGAGCAATCAGGTTTACACAACAATGAGATCCGGGTTTTAGAAAAAGAACTATGGCACACAAAGAGGCTGGGGAGTGGGGAGACCTGCTAGAAAGCTCTTACAAACAACTTTCTAGGTCAAAAGAATTAGGGCCTGTGACCAAGCCAGAGACACTGGGGAGTTTCAACATTGGCAGCAAATTCAAATTCCATTAGGGGCCCAGCTGTCAGATAAATGCATATCCCTGGGCCCAATGAGACAAACTCAGCACAAACTCCTGAAGATACACATTAATTGTGAGTGCCAATTCTTTACTTCCCTGGAGAAACACGCTCTCCCTTTTTTCATGAAGCATATGGCCCTCCCAGTCTGTTTCTTTTCTCCCATCTTCAGAAACACACAGATTATAGAATAAGAAATCTGGACTTTAAAACATCTTCCCATGTTCCAATAATAGTTCAAATGGTGTGTGTTAAACACTGAGCCCCACCGAGCACCACTGGAGTTATCACTAAATTTCAGAGGGAGAAAGCTGTTGCCGTAATGAGTTGAGGGGCAGGTAGAAGGTGCCAGGGCTGACAGAGGGCTAGTGTGGGGCCAGGTGAGTGTGTAACCAGACAGGTAACCCTAGGGCTGCAAAGATTTCCAGACAAAGTCTGAGCAGTGCTTCTCAGTGTGTCTACGCTGGAAGCTGACGTGGGTGTTAACAGGTATTACTGGAAAAGCAGTTCCATGGGCATTGAAGTTTAGGAAATGCTGTAATAACAGGGCTAAACAGGTTTCTTAATTCGACTTCCTGGAACATCTCAAAAGATCATGTGAATTTTGAACTCCCAGGAGGATAATTCACACAGGAAGGCAGTTTTCCCCAAATGTATGTGACTGAAAAACCCTGTGTATCTCTGGGATTCGTGTTCTAGAATGGCCACTGGGAAACACCGGGACTTCCCAAGGTACCAGAAGGGTAAGTATGAGGGGAAAGGCACCATCTCACAAAGGCGGGGAGGGCGGGAGGAAGACTGAAAATCGCAGGCTGTCAGCCACCAATTGCAAGATGCTCATTTCAGTGATGTCCACTGTAAAGGACATTCCAGAAACAAGGGCGTGAAGAGGGAGGGGTGCATCCTGAGGTAAGAGAAGCCCATACCAGGCCTCTCCTGACTGCCTGGCTTTAAAATAAAAAATTAATTTTAAATTTGCACATGATTAGGAAAATCTTGAGTAAAACTATGGAGATCTATCACGCCCTTCCACAGAGGGGGCTTCCACAAACAGTCTCTTGTGCCTGCTTCAGGATCTTGGTAGACACACAAATGCATATACGTGTGTGTATATACATATGTGTTTACATATGTATGTGTACATATATGGTATTTATAAACACAAACGTTGTGGGTTTCCAAGCAGAATAATAGATACAACCTTTTCTACTCAAACTCTTTTTCCTTTCGATCTGATGACATACCAAGTCATCTCCCCACGTCTGCTCACACAGACCTTCACCGGTCTCCATGCACACACTGTTCCGTACTACAGACAGATCCTCATTTCCTTCATCAGACCCCTCCTGAGGGCACCTGGGTTAGCTCCAGATTCCCCCCTTACAGAAGCGGCCCACGTCAGACTTGCAGGTGACTGATTTTGTGCACACTTCTGTGCCCGGCAGAGTACCAGTAGAGGGCAGAAGGTAAAACTCCTTGGTCAAAGAACAAGAGTTCGGAATTTCGGTGGGTGTTGCAAACCTCACTCCAAAACTGAACGAATTTATACATAACATGCCATCAGTGTCTTCCCTTGCCAACACCTGATGTCATCAATCTTTAGAATTTCTGCTGATCAGAGGGGAGAGAAAATCCCACGGCTTTAAGCTACATTTCCTAAAGAAGTTGGCTCCTTTTCATTTGCCTATTAGCCAGCTGTTTCTTCTGAGTTGTTTGCTCATACTGTTAGAAACTACCCCTTGCCTTTTTTTTAATTTGGTGATTCTTTTTCATTAGTTTGTGGGTTCTTGCCTAGATCAAGAATAGTAAACTTTGTATGTTACAAGCTACCAAATTTTTCTCGTGTCTGTCATTTTGTTTTAATTGTTTATGATGTTCAAGACTGAACTGTATGAACTGTAGGAAAGTTTTAAATTTGCATGTAATTAAATGTCTTTTACTTTATGGCTTCTGAGCTTTATGGAGTATTTAGAAAGGCCTCTGTACTCCCTACACTTAGAAATTCTCTCCTGTATTCTATGTTTCTTGCATTTAGATGCATTTGCATTTTTCCAACTGATTAGAATTTGTGTATAGTGTGATGCAAATATTTAACTCTAATTTTTGTTCAAATGAATTATCAATGCTTCAGTCAGTTATAAACATGCTTTTTTGTGTAATTCAAAATGCAGTTCTCAAGTAAACATGCACCCGTTTCTGGACTTTTCCATTAATCTACTCTTTCTGCCAGTGGCTTCACAGTATTTTAATAGATCGTATGTTCACATTACACTTTACTAATGTTAATATCTATGTTTAAATTTTTTTCATTTCATTTGCATTAACTTTCCCAGATGAACACTGAATTTATTTCTAGATATTTACTAACTTTTGTGACTGTCGTGAATGAGATCTTTTCTCGTTTTTTATTGTTATTTCTGGAGTATGGGAAAGTAATTGAGTTTTACGTATTTAAATGTAACTGATCACAATTCTGAACTTGATCATTTCTACATTTTTCCATTGATTCCTGCATTTTGAATAGAAAGTCACATCATCTATAATTTTTGTTGTTTCCTTAGTGTAGTAGTTAAAGGCTCTGGAGCCAGCCCTCCGTGACCCTCCCCACGTTCATACCCTATCTGATCCCACCTCCTCACTGCACCTGAACCTGTCTGTGCTGCTGTGAAATAGGCTTACTGTCTGTTCACAGGGTCGTGATGACAATAAAATGTATTAATATCTGTACTATATATAAAACAGATAAACAACAGGGTCCTACTGTACAGCACAGGGAACTATATTCAGTTTCTTGTAATAACCTATATTTAAAAAGAATATGAAAAGGAATAAATATATAACTGAATCATTACGCTGTACACCAGAAACTAACACAACGTTGTAAATCAACTATCCTTCAATTAAAAAACAAACAAACAAAAATTGATGAAAAGGAAAAAAATGTATTAATACCTGTAAAGTGCCAGGGGCCCAGCCTGCTTCATTTTATTTTCCGGTTGTCACTAGACCCATCATGTGCCTCCTTCTCTTTCCTAAGGCCTGGTCCCCACATGAAAGTGGAGAGAAAAGGTGACCTCAGATCTGGATTTGGACTCCATCCCTTGGACCTCTCTATCATATTAAAATGAATATCTAACGTATATCAAATAAACACTGCATGTCAGGATCATCCTAAGTGCTTTCCATAATAACCACAAATAATATTAAGAGCTAACTCTTAACGGATGCTCCCTCTGTGCCAATATGGTTTCCGGGGCTTGACACAATGAACCAGCGGGAGAGCCCATGTTCTTAACCTCTGCCGTATATATTCCTTATTCACATGCATTTTCATTTAATCTTCATGACAGTCATAAGATATTACAGACAGATTGCAGATGAGAAAACTGAGTCTAGAGCTACTAGGACATTTGCCCCAGGCCACATGCGAGTAGGCAAAGCGGGGCTTCTAAGGCCAAGGTGCTAAACTGCCCATGTGGGTTCAGCTCACAGCCAGCCAGTGCATGGGGATGGTGAGGCTATGGAATGAATGCAGGGACTTCAGTGGTAGCTTTCTCAAGTCCCAGACTTCCAGGCCAGGGTCACTGGCAGAGCTGGTACAACCTCAAGCAAACCACCCAGAACTGTGTTCCGTAAAGGGGCTGCCTTACAAGTCAGAAGTCACCAAAGAGGGGACAAAAATGAAGAGCAAATGTGATGTTGGATGGCAAATTCCAACTCTAGGTTACTTGGTATTCCTCTTAAACACTGCTCACCCCTCACCCCCCTGCCCCACCCTGACTTCGGGGCCACATTTCTACAGGGAAGAATTTCCTAAAAACCCAAGTGCATCCAGGGACAGCCAGTGGGTGTCCAACTGCAAATGCTGAGGAGACAGGGCGCAAAGCCTACTCTAGACCCTGGTAACAAGGTCCCACAGGAACACCGTGAGCCAGGATGACATTTTCCGGGCAGGCAGCCCAGCGGGGGAGTGGAAGTTCTCCAGAAAGAGATTTATTCAGAAGACGATGCAACTTTGGGGTGAAGGCTGTTCACAAGTGAATGAGGAGTTTTGTGTGGGAAGGTGATCAGATTCCCCAGGAGACAACCTGCCTGCCACACTGGCTTCAGCAGGCTGCCTTCTGGAAGTGCCAGCTTGGGTGCTTGGAGTTGAAGGACCTCAAGGGGCAGAAAAGCATTCAGGGCATTCCCAGTGTCCCTTCTACACTTTGTTTCTACTTTCCTGGACTTTTCCTGGAGGCATCACCGTTCTTTCGGTCCTCCCATTTTGTGCCTACGCATCTCTTGGGAAATACATGGAGCCAAAAGCTACTAGAAAAATTGGTCTCCTATCCACAATAGCAGCCAAGGGCTTTCACTCACATTTGGGTTCTGAGCACTGTTTGGGAGTCAGGAAGATGACTTTTTCTGGGTCCTAGCACAAGGCCAGCCCAGAGCAGTGCTGTGGTGCCATTTGCTGGATGGATAGATGGACGAATGGATGGGTATCAGACCGACAAATGGATAAATGAACTGGTGAATTAAACATATCTTCAGACCTTTCCACAGACTTTCTTTCCATTCCCAACACAAGCCATGCCCTCTAGGCAGCCCGCTGTCTGCTCTCCAAACGCACTACTTTCTTCCCTTAGTGCCTTGGCAAGGGCAATTCCTTGTCTTTCTGAAAACTCCTAAAAGTAATTTTGAAAAACAAAATTGAAAAAAAAAAGTAATTTTGCCCTCTTCTCTGCCTCATTCTGTTCATGCCCAAGGTTCAAATTCATCCAAAAGCCCTCCCTTCACCTCCAGCTAAAGCCGTATCTTCCTGCCCCCAGCTCACGCCTCACTATTTAGCCTCTGGCTGTGAACTCCTGGGACCATCTCCTGCTAGTCATGCATGTTAAAATGGCTCCAGTAAGTGCCAGCGGAGCACCCTAGCCTCCCCACTCACACATCAGGGTCTGAGGTGGAAGATTCCCCAGGGCCAATCTCCCAGCCTGCACTTGCCTCTGGTGCACAGAATCACAGAGCAAGCAGAAATGCATAGTCTCGTACCCTTCCCCCCAGATGGCATGTGGAAGAGGACCCTAAAGGTCAAGGCATTCAGCCAAGCCGGGCTCACTGAGGGCTTGTGGCTGGAGGGTCACAGCGGGCCAGGAACTCGCAGGAGCAGACAAGCATTTAAGGGCAGAGTGGCGGCAGCAGTAAGGCACTGTCCCCAAAGTCCCCCCAACCCCTAACCAGGGATGGTTATGGAGATGTGTTAGCATGTCCTGGGAAAAATACACAATTCTAAGTTAGGACTGAGGCATCATTTTATTCTGTCCTATGTGGCCCACTAAATTCTCAAAAGAGAGTGGGAATTCCCTTGTTCTTGTCAGCCAGATATTTTTGTTACAACACACTGAACTCCAAAGAGTAAAGGCCACTAAAAGCTGGGTCCTGGCGTGGTAAATGGGGTAAGTGCTCATGCATGTGGCTGTATAAACACACATGCACACATAGCATCATCACGTCTGGTCCTCATACAGCTATCCCTACCTTGAAGGAGAGGAAAAGCAAATGAAAACATCATCTATTAAGCCCCTTGTGCCAGACACTCTACCGGTATTTCACATCTGGCATTTTGGAAAGAAGCCCATTGTAGGGGATTGAGTTGGCAGCCTCTGCCAAGGTTTATCCACATGCTCACCTCCAGAACCTGTGAACATGACTTACTTGGAAAAAGGGTCTTGGCTGTTGCAATTAGGCCAAGGATCTCTAGATGACATAAATCATCCCGGATGACCTGGTAGGGGGGCACCCTAAAGCCGATGACCCAGAAGAGAAGATATACAAGAAAGGAGGCCATGCGAAGGCAGGGGCAGAGAATGGGGTGAGGCAGCTGCAAGCCAAGAAATGCCTGGAACCCCCAGAATCTGAAAGAGGCAGAAACGGATTCTGTCCTAGAGTCTCTGCAGGAAGTACAGCCTTGCTGACGTCTTGATTTTGAACATCCAGCCTTCAGAACCGTGAGAACAAATTTCTCTTGTTTTAAATCACCGTGTTAGTGGCACTTTGCTCCAGCAGCCCTAGGAGACAAGTCAAAGGCCCATACATTTTCTGTACCCCTCACAGGCACCAGTCCAGCGGGCAACACACGTTCATGAAACAACTGGTCACAAAAACGTTTAACTAGGAGTCAACTCAGACCACAGCCAATTCCATTCACCAACTGCGGGCCGGGATGAGAGCGTTTGTCCTGTAATAAGGGAAACAGTAAACGTTCCCCAAAGAGTAAATAACCCAAGGGAGGGGCCAGGAGGGGGCGTTTACACTGAGGTCTCCAGCAGAGTCCTGAGCTAAAGCGAAGAGCTTCCAGCAAGTATGTGTGCTTTGTCCCCCAGGGGACAAGAGAGGAAGCAGGCAGCAGGAGAAGGGGTCTGCCTGGGGATGAACTCAGACTCTTCCCCTGGGCGATCGATGTCTCTCGTGCTCCTGGGGACTTCAACAGGATGGCTGCACCCTTTTTCCAAGAGGACACAGCACATATGCATTTGTAAATTTACAAGTGGCAAAATGTGGGATTTAAAAAAAAAACCCATTGACTTACACGTAAAATCCTTGAGAATTATCAATAATATCATAAATCATTCGCGATTTGGCGGAGCTAAGCTTCTCCATGGCTGCTGCACCGCCGTTGTTCTTAATCCACTCCAGGACCAAGCCCATGACATAGATGCTAAAATAAAGATTAAAAAATACATACATTCATTTAGTTCAGCTTTGCAGAAGTAGAGAGACATTCAAGCAAACTGCCTGAAGTTGTACTAAAACAGATGTAAAGACACCACTAGGAAAAAAAAAGTGAAAAAAAGGAGACACCATTAGACATAGACAAGATGAAATCAGGCCATGTGAGGACCAAGGGCAAGAGGGTGTCATGAAGCAAAAACTAAGACCAACCCAACTCTAGGCCCCTGAGCACCCTTCAGAAAAGAGCGTTAATTAGACTCCTCACTGGAGGTCACATTGATCCCCACTGTCCAGCCTAAGCCCTAATGCAAACTCTCCAGGACACCTGGAACACGCCACACCTGTTTTAGCCCTGCCACAAGCATCCTCAGACTCTACAGTCGTGGAAGGCTGGAGGCCCAGTGCTAACCCTTTCTCCCCACAGCCCTGGAGCAGGGCCCTCCACCTGGCGGATGCAGGGTGGCGTGCTGCTTAAGAGCCTGGGCTGTGGGTCAGAGTCCTGACTCCAGTCCCCGTGCTGCCACTTACTAAACAGATTACCTGGGATTAGTCACTGTGGGAATCCAAACCTCAATTTTCCCATCTGGAAACAGAGAGACCTACCAGCCTACAGTGGACACCCAGCATTTCAGCTGCCCTGCTCTTCCTAACTCCACCCTCCCACCCTATAGAAGCCCCAGCAGGGTCCCTTGCTCCCCTGGTCTCAAAGCTGGGCAGAGGACTTAGCTGGACCAATCAGAGCCCTCTGCTGGGAGTGAGAAGAGGAAGAATTGTGTGTTGGTGACACTGTGAGATAGGAGGTGAGAGCCCCAGAGGGCATCTGAAGGGGGGCTCATCTGAGGTACAGGAGAACAGACGGGGTAGGATTCGGGTCCCTGGTTCCATGAGGACCTGCTGCGCCTCAGCCCCTCACAGAGCTTGGGAGCACCCCTTTCTGAGCCCAGATTTCAAGTCTGTCACCTGTACAACTCAGAGCTCTTGTGCGGACTGCAGGAAATGGGTTGGGTGAGGTGCCTGGTGCAGGACCCGGCACTTGGCAGGTGTAGTTAGTAGTATCTTCACTAGTTAAGTGCTCAAAAGTAAGCCCAACACATACGCCACTGAAGAACAGTGATCTGCTGAAAGTCCCTCTGTTTAGAAAGGTGCTGAGGGCTCCGTGCGTGCCTCACTGAATGCCCATGGGGCCAGAGCAGAGGTCTCCCGGGGAAAAGACACCATCTTCCTTGAGCTGGAAGTTTGGAGAAGGGCAGCATTCAACTATGCTCTCTCCATGAGTGGGACTAAAGGTCCCCTATAGGAATTTGTGTTAACTTAGCTGCTGGGCATCAACGCCCAGCAAAGATGTGGGGTGATGACCCCTGGACACCGCTGCCTCCTCATTTATTAATGCCCTGAGCCTTTTAACACCATGAAGGTGACAGAGTAGGGGGGAGGCGGGGGAAATCACTGGGTCTGGAAAATGTTCCAACACCAGAAGCTTGTCCTAGGGACTTTGTCCCAAGATACTGACTGGCTCATTCACTGCCTCCAGGTGGGCAGAGAACCCAAGCATTTCTACCCGCAGAAGGTAGCAGACGCCAAAACTGGGCTGCCCAGCGGGCACTGGGCAGAGAGTCGCCAGCACCCAGACCCACGTGACAGCCTCTCTGGAAGCTTTTCCAGCCCAGTACACCATAGAGCACCGGGAGGAATGAAAACCGGCAGTGAGTGGCAGAGGGAAGAGAGAACAAGCAGAACACAGCCCCTGAATAATTTATAGCCTCAGAGGTAGCTCTCTAGGTAAAGACTAAGTCAGAGGGACAAAGGAGAAAAAAGAAAGTAAGAGAAGGAAACATGGGCCAGGCACCCTGCTAGCTGCTCTCCCATCTACTGATCAAAATAATCTGTGGTCAGAGCTGCCATCTCATTTTACAGATGAGGAAACAGGCTCAGAGAGCTTGACTTGGCTAAAGTCAGCCCACAAGTGGCTGATAAAGTCAGGATTCCAACCCCAGTTGGCCTGACTCCAAAGCCTAAGTTCTTTCCACAGTAACAAAGGCCTCTGGTTTCCTAGAGGTTCCAGGACCCTCAACCACTATCTCACCTGCTAACAGGGCAGCCAGGTTGGCACCAGGCCTCACAGACACAGCTGCCAAGAGCAGCTGCTATGGGGCATCACAACACACATGCACGTATGTGGGCACGTTTGTGTGTGTTCCAGGTACAATGCTGCCCTGGACTCCTCCGTTCCATGAGACACTTCAGAATTTCCATCTAATTCAAAACGGCTCGCTTCCCTACAAACCACAGAAACACACCCTGCCACATTATCCAAGCAGAGTCACATGCATGCACCTGCCTGTTCACTGACAGTGCTTTTCAGAGGCCAAGCATCAACTTGACCTGCAGCTCTGTTATCCCAGGGTTCCCAAGCTGCTGTTCCACTAATCAAATCAAGGCTGCAGCAACAGCTCAGGTCAAGTCCACAGTCCCAGCCAGACCTCGGCACCGAGACATTTCCCTCTTGCTGTGTGACTCACTGCCCATGCTTGATGGCTAATCTTAATGGGATGTGAGCAACCTCAGTCAGCAGAAAGCCCATCCACTCTACACACTGCCCAGAACCAGCACCCTTAGCCTTGGTCTATGAGGCCTCAGCGTGAGGCAGATGCTTCGGAGGGAAGCAGGCTCTTCTGGAGACCAGACACCCCCAGAGTGGAAGGATGTCCGGCCTGCGACTCGACTGGGACTTTCAATTCATTTTTTTTAAAAGATGATATTATTATAATCACTCTGCCACTCAGCTATTCGCACCCCTCCCAATTTATTATTAACTCTTGCCTCTACCCTCATGCAATCCAAAATCTTCAAAACACAAGGGCCCTAAAATGCTTACACAGCTTTGCAATTTGGTCTCCATTCTCCCCACTAACAGCCAGGGTAACACTTTTAACTGATTTATGCCTTTGCTTCTAAAATGCCACCTGCCGCACCCAGCACAGGTGGACTGTCCATTAAATGACCACATAAATCACAGTAGGTCCACTCGATGGAACACCATACAGCAATTCAAAGAGGGAAAAAAGGCAGGCATCTGAGCCAACACGGCAGTACACTGCTGGGTGGAAAAAAGAATTCGCAGAACAGCCTGTACGGTAAAGTTCTATTTGTATAATTAAATACACTGCTCTGGATATTTGAAGACGCCCAGTTAAGGGTCAGGGCACACAGCAAGCAGTTAACAGTGGTTACTCTGGCAGGCTCCGCCTGCTTCAGAAATCTCTGCCAAGATCATGTGTTAGTTTTTTTTAAGCAATATGAAATACTCTCCGGGCACTAGGGATTAGAAGAGCATGCCAGAAATTCCCCTGGGAAACTCGCTCTGGCTGTTCGGAAGAACAAGCCTCCTGGACAGGCCCACAGTCCCATTCTGATAAGAAGGGTGGCCTGGGTTAGTGGGGTTATTTTGTTTCTCATTAGTCACCTTATCCCATAATACAGCTAAAGCCAATTTATACTTACAGGTTCAGTTAGTAATGGTAAGTAAAACTCTCTTGTGGGGTTAGAAGGGAAGTTTAGGCGTCTTTTTGCTTGTCCATTAATTGGGCTTAGTGTGCTCCACTAAAGGGTTAAGTAGAAGGCCCACACGGTCCTTTATTCCACCCCAATTCCCGGCTCAGGGACACAGGCAACTATCTACAGGTCGGCTGTCTGGCTCAGTTCAAACAAACCGCCCAGGGCCTATGGTCATTTGCCTCTGATTTAAAAAAAAGAAGAATGAATGAATGAATACATGAATGAATGAAAAAAAGCTTCTTTTCAAATGTGAGAACTTTTCAAGGACTTCCATGTGTTACAAATTCTGAAGGGTTCTGAATGCCTCATCAGCTCCTACCCAGGGACGGGGGAGGGTGTTTTGCACGAATCCTCTCTCTCCATTTGTTACTTGTTCTCAGGGGGGAGCTACAACGTCCTATTCTTGAATGCTTAAGTAGCCCAGATGAAACAGAAGCTTCTCAAGTCATGGATTTAGGGAAACGACGGACTTTTAATTTTTGCCTTTTCTCTTCTTTTGGAATAAAAGAAAACAAGGTATCAAGGGGTGTCTTGGGTCAGAATGCACTTAACCCAATCTCGTTCATCTTCCACATTTATAGGATTGTGTTCTAGTATTATTAGCAATCCTTTCCCCGAGATGGTCTACTTCCACTATTCTGATCTGTCTGGAGAAGAAACTTTGCCCTTTTTCTGCCCTTGTTTCTATGTCTGGCTCAGTCTGCTCCTCAGGCAGGAAGGCTCTGGGCAGGGAGTGTCTGCCGTCCCCTACCCTTGTCCTCATCGCCAGGTGAGCAGGTTGACCAACTGACCCGACCGATCGACTCCCGGGGCCCGGGGCCTGCACAGGGGCCCCTCTATGAGTCACTGAAAGAGGGACTTTCCCTCAGGGCCACCACCAGGTCTGACTTCAGACATTTTTATCTCCCATTAGACAGACTGACCTGCTTTCCCACCATCCCTGCTGATTTTTCACTCTAATGTTAACAGACAGCATTTTAACATATTCATGACAGTTAAAAAATGTGCTTCAAGGTACCTTGTGGAGAAGGTACCTGAGGGTGCGACAGCTCCCCCTGCTCCTCCAGCCTGGGCTCTCATCAGGATTTGCTGGCCTTCAGGCCACATTTCAGGGCCAGGGCTCTCCCTGTCTCCTCACTCCCAGAGACATGGGGGCCTCTGCCTCACCCTAAAACACTCATCTGCCTGCAAGCCAGGCCCTGGCTGCACGTTCTAACAGCTAAGGACAAACGGCTCCCGCCAACTCCTGCCACTGTGCAGCCTGGCGCTGAAGCCCCTTCCCCAACGCCCTGTGCTTGAGGGTCCCCCACTGTCCTGCACCGCCCAGCACAGCAGTGCTCCTTTCCTAGCTGGGCAGTGATCAATGGCCTTCCCACTGCCTGGAACTCCAGCAGCAAGACGGGCAGGTGAGACAGACTCAGCCCTGCCCCCAATCCCTGTCAGACACTTAGAAGCACTTTCCATAGGGGTGAAAGAGTGGGATTGACAGGTAACCAGCACAGTAAGCACCAGAATACCCGGCTCTCCGAGGAGAGAGGGGACACAAAATGGGGAGCTGCTCTGTCTGGCCCAGGTGAGCCACGCGGAAAAGCAGCAAAACTTTCCTTCAGAGTTCTAGCTTTGAAGAAGCTCCTTTCTTTCCTTTGGTAAATTACATGGAAGAAGTTTCCTACAGGCAGCACCTCACAGTCTAACAAAGCCCAAACCCCATGGGGCAGCGACCTGAACCAGCCCGAGACCCTCTTCATGTGTTTTTTTAAGAGAACTTCCACCATCACTGGAAAACCAGACCAAGTGGAAGAGCTGGACTCCAACAGCGATCGATTCTCCTGAGATGGGATCCTTTCAACACAAACCCACACTGATATTTTCGCTTGTGAAGAGCACTAAGGTACAGGGTGTATATACCCAGGCTCTCAAGCCAGGCTGCCTGGCTGGCTACGCCACTTTCTAGAAGTACAGCTTTGGCTTCTTCACTTGCAAAATGGGACTAAGAAGAGTACCTCCCAAAATTATATTCAATACCTTGTAACAGCCTATAATAAAAAAGAATATGAAAAGGAATATACATACATACATATATATATATATATAACTGAATCACTATGCTGTTCCCCAGAAATTAACACATTATAAAGTGACTATACTTCAGTAAAAAAAAAAAAAAAAAAGTACTTTCCAAGTATTTACTAGGTGCTTGGGAGACTTAGAGGGTCATATACAGAATGTATCACTATTTTACATCATAGCTGCCCTGGAAAGATGAATATAAACTCTGGTTCTGTCCACCTCTCTCCCTAAAATGTAAGGCTCTGAGAACTAACAACAAACAACAACAGAAACATGAATAATAATAGAGCAGCTAACATTTATAAATCACAGACAGCCATATCCATCATTCAATCCTCACAGCAACCAATTATTCCTGGAGACATCTGCTGCACAGATAGGTTATGCAACCTGCCCAAGGTCACATAGTTATTTAGTAGTAAAATCTCTCAGGCAACTGTGAAATCCCAGGTGTCACAAAGAGTTTCACAAACTACTTGAGTCTGAGAGTTAAAAGATCATACTTCCCCTCTCACTTGGATAACGGGAATCCAGGCTAACAGGACCCCTACAGACTGGGTGATAAAACAGAGAGGTGTTTGTTCCAGTCAGTATGTTCCATGCCGGGCAGCCATCTTCAAGCAGGCTCAGCAAGAAAAAAAAAAGAAAGCTGGGGCAGTCCGGCCTTTTAAAGTCCGTCAAAGCTGCACTGGTTGTTTGCGATGCAGGCATGACATTTCATGTGCAAAAGCTTTTGGGTTAATGGTAAACCACCAAGGCTATCGCGAGCAAACAAAAACACCCCAAAAAGAAAGGCAAGAAAAGCTGATCAAACATGCACAGAGAGTAACGAGGCAGAGGACAGCTGGGCAGAGAAGCCTGATAGGCTACCTGGGCTATGAGGGCACCGATTCATGGAATCATGTCCTACTTTAAAAAGTCACCTTGTATTGATGGGAAATACTGAGACCCCCTCACTGGTCCCCAGCCACACCCCGGAGAGTTACCTGAAGCAGGGAGGTGTGTTGTATAGGGAGTTATTGCCAGCCTGCACTTTATAGTCCAGGACGGAGGGGCACTCCCTGAGGGCGAACCCTAGCAGGTCGTCTCGGACGATCACCACTGTGACTCCCGCAGCGCCAACATTCTTCTGCGCGCCAGCAAAAATCACACCAAACTGAAAAGGAGAAAACCTGCTGTATTAGACACACTTGGTCATTTTCCATCAATATAATCAAACTTCCCAATCTCTTTCCAAAGCGCAATTTTTATGAGGAAGTGACTTTTCTAAGTGTTCAGAGTGCATTCCCTTCTCTAAAGGAATCTCCATCTGGGACAGAAAACCAATACTTGTGAGTTCAGAGCCTACAGATTATAAGTCTGTCTGGTCCTTCTCCCCACGAAGGGGCCAGCCCAAGTCCATCACTGTGAAGAACTTGCATCGATTCAGATCCACTATTACACCTTTTTACTACATCCAAGCCCATCTTTAAAATACGGCTGTTGTCCTACAGGGTTACAAACCTAAAGAAACCAAATTTTAAACTTTTTTTTAAATTACAAAAAAATTTTTTAGGTTACAAACCAAAAAAAAATTTTTTTTTAGCCATTTATATTTGTATAAAGGGACAATCAGAAGATGCACAGAAATGAGACAAGCTGCCTAAGAGAAAAGAAATTCTAGACTAAAGATGTTTAAAGGTGCTGCAGGAAATTTTTTTGTGTACGATACAGAACCCTCTCCCATTTCTCCCCATGAAATCTTCAAGAAAATTCAGTGGCACGCCAAATAGGAGGAGGGCGGACAGCCTGGCCTGGCAGGGAGGAGAATTTAACAGTTGACATTGTTTAGAATTTTCAGTGCACAGTGACTGATAATAAAAACAGGCTATAAACAAAATACTGTACAACCACAGAACAGAATATTACTGAGCCTTTAAAAAATGAAATCTGACACACGCTACCACGGGGCAAACCTTGAGGACACTATGCTAAGTGAAATAAACCAGACACAAAGGACAAATATTGCATGATTTCACTTATTCGAGGTACCTAGAACAGTCAAATTCACAGAGAGAGAGAGTAGAATGGTGGTTGCCAAGGCCTGGAGGGAGGGAGGACTAGGGTTGTTTAATGGGGACAGAGTTTCAGTTTGGGAAGAAAAAGTTTCAGAGATGGATGGTGGTGATGGTTGCACGACAGTGTGTGTGTACTTAATGCCACTGAACTGCATGCTTAAAAATAGTTAAAATGGTCAATTTTATGGTAACTATATTTTACTTCAATTATTTTTAAAAACACTTGTCAGTTTGTTTTAAATTTTTTACAGATGTCATAGCCCCCATGGCGTGCACCTGGGTGCCCTGCTCCCACTGCCCATCCTGGTGAGCTGCTTGTAAGTCTATGAGTCCTGCTGATGTTCTTGGAGCTGAGGTGGTTCAAGGCCAGGTGGGGCTCCTTCATAGACCCCTAAGCTTGGATAATGTAAATTTTCCCTTGAAGACAGCAAGCAACTCCCCATGTGTTGACCCAAAAATTCTCAAAGAGCCACTCTCAGAGGCAGGTAAATTCCCCAAGAACTCGAGTGTCATCCTGGGTAATCATTAACACAGGGCTGGGAATGTCAGGACATAAACATTCTGACAACCAACACTGCCGGCTTTTCCCTGTTCTAGTGTACATGAAAATGCCCTTAGACAAACGGAGATTCCAGGTTCCCTCCCAGACAAACAGAGATTCCAGGTTCCCTCCCACCCAGGCCTCTTTTACACTCTACCTTGGAAACATCCACTGGCTTGGACAGGAAGTTTGAGGACATGTCACAGACCAACACTGCTCCCTTGACATCAGGGATAAAGTCAAACTCCACTCCGTGCACAGTCTCATTGGCACAGTAGTACACATAGGAAGCATCTGGGCTGAGGTTCCAGGTGCTTGGATCTGGAATTTCTATCACAGGAGACAAGTTGGGGACATGTTTACTCCCTTCTTCCCTTAGGTAGATGGGAGTCTACCAGCAATGACGCCCCTTCCCTATCAACGGAAGACTGATCCCAGACTGTTCACAAGTGAAAGTTGTTACTGGGGGCAAATAATCTTCAAGAACGGCATGGTGGGTATTTGGGGTTTTTTCTCATCACCCAGTATCCATTCATCCTATGTCCACTGACAGTTTCCTTTTTGGGCACAAGCCTCCCCCACCCTCAGCCCATGTAGCTCCAGTGGTGCTAATTCCACCCATAGCACCGAAGGTACAACGCAACTCGGGCGTGGCCACATGACTGACGCGGAATGGGACACAGGGGACATGAGACTGTTACTGGGAATACTTGAGCAAAGGCGCTGAAATGTGGGACAATATAAGGTCAGGAGCAGCTGCAGCCACCTTCTGAAAAGGAGGGGCAGCTTTCCTGGCTGTGGAGGAGACAAGGAGAGAGACCAGGACTGGGAGACAACATGCAGGGAGCCCCTGATCAAGCTATACCTAAAACCAAATTAGCCTCTGGGCTTTGCTAGCCTAGGAATATGCTTTCTGCAGCAGCCAGGTAGTTATCTTAAAGGTATAGTCATCCAGTCGAAATGGTATCAAACTAACTACTGATGAGGAGAAAAAAGAATTACCCTGGGCAGGGGTAACCTGCTATCTGAGGAGGGACCACTTGGCAACTAGCATGTCACCATCCAGCTCAGCTCCCAGCACTTACTTGTGTAACTCCCAAGTTTAGGGTGGACGATATTCACAGTCCCAAACTTCTTGGCTTCTTCTGCAGCCTTAGCTGACCAGGATCCTGTCACCACATAGTCGGCACACCTTCCTGCTTTCAGGCCAATCAGGTTTAAGGGGACAGCACTGAACTGGCCACACCCACCTCCTTGCACAAAAATCACCTTGTAGTTGTCCGGAACGGCTCTGGGCAGAAGCACAGGTGACAGTAAATAAAAACTCAAGGGGTCAAAGTTTGAGAATGAGTGATGCTCTACCAGCACTTGACCTTGAGTGGGTAAACTACGAGAACGACAATAAAACCCACTACTACTCTGCCTTCCCCAATTCAGCCATTGATCTACTCAATTCCTTGCACAAATATTTACTGGGCCCTGCCATGGAAGCTCATGGTGACTGTCTGGACCAAAGCTCAGAACACTCTGTTGCTCCTTTAGGGCCACTCTCAGTCCACCTGGTTCAAGGGTGGCCAATCCCAGCTCCAGGGGATGAGCATGTGACCCAAGCTGGCCAATGGGGTTTGGTTCTGAGACCTTGGATCAAACTTCTGGTTAAGAGGATTTGTTGCTATTGAGGAAAAGAAAGAACTTGTAGGAGCTCATCTTGCAACCACAGGTGGTCACCTGGGGATGCCAACACATAAAAAAGCAGCAACAGGAGATGGAGAAAAAGACCCTGACATCCTGTGAGCTTCTAAATCAGCCCTGCCCTTTTCTGTTACATGAGGTAACACATTCCCTTTTTCACTTAAGCCAAGAGCTGGGTTTCTGTCACTTGCAACCAAAAGCCTTAAAAGTATGTTCGTGCTAGCCCAAGCTATGGACCAAGTGGACACTGGAGAAGAATCTTGGATAATGCTTTAGGCCTAAGCATGTATCACCTCCCCGATACACATTGAGATTAACAGCAAAATTATTTGACTCCAGCACAGAAAATTAAGACGATGGTTGAAATGGCTACAGGCAGTACAGTAAGGCCTGCTCCAGAGGGACCAGGCCATGGAAACTGGACCCAAGCTTCTGAGCAATTTCACAGCTTGGGAACAGGTTATGCAGAAGGCCAGGGCACAGAGCTCCAGCACAGAGGTATAAGGAAAGCACCAAAGGGCAGGGCAGTGTGAGAGGGTCTGGCCCGCATGAGGGGTGGTGTGCATATACCTGGCCCTGAACCGTGCCTGCCTATATCAAGTGCTCAGGAGGACAGCAAAGCATGCAGGCAGGTCTTAGGAGGCTCTAACCACACAGTGCTCAGCAGCTGGGAGGATGCCAGCCCAAGGCAGGGTTCCTGGTTCACGTTATTCAGGTGCAGGGCAGTTAATGAGGCCAAGAACTAGACGGTGGGGCACCAAACAGAGGGCTAGGGACAGGGTACAAAGTAGAAACCTGGTGAGGGGATGAAGGAATCGGCCCATAAATTGAACCGGAAGTCCAGGCCAGAGAGGCTCACGGCCGTGTGGGTCAAATACCACATCCTTTGGGCCGATATTCCAAATCCCCACCCCATGAAGGATGGGATTGTTCTGCGGCATGACAGGGAACCCAGAAGCAGCCCCAGCATGCTAAGCCAAGCAGATGATTACTGGTTCTGAATACACACACTGCAACAGGATTCAAGGCTCCTCACCAAAGTGGCATCAAGCCTGTCCCATCTGAGGCACTTTATCAAGGTAATTTAAAGGGGAAGTGCTGAAATCATAGCAATTCCAATTTTGTCTGTGAAATAATGCAAGGGTGACCCTAAAGCATTAACAATGATTACCCCTGACTAATGGGGTTACGGATAATTCCAGTTTAACTTGTGAGTTTCTTGTGTTTCTAAACTTTCCATCACGAACGGGCACTCATTTTGTGAGCAGGAAAGAAAAAAAAACCAAAAACAAGTGTTTTGTTTTCAAGGTGACCGTATTTCCATGTCTACGTGAATATATATAATATATAAAACCTCTCCTTTAAGCAGCAATCTGTTAAGAATATGGTTTCCCCTGGGTGAGAAAATCTGTGCAGATAACTGAGTTCATCTGAGAAGTTCCCAGAGTTCAGAACTCTTAAAATTGCCCAGAGTCGGAGGGAGTATAGCTCAGTGGTAGAGTGCGTGCTTAGCATGCATGAGGTTCAATCCCCAGTACTTCCATTTAAAAAAAAAAAAAAGATAGCCAGGTGGATATAACTAAAACTTTAAAAAAAAATGAGGTCCTGGGTTCAATCACCAGTACCTCCATCAAAAAAAAAATTGCCCAAAAAGCCTATTAAAAATGAAGTTTCTATAAAGGCTCTGATCCCACAGGTCTGGGTGGTGCCCAGCACTGGAATTTTTTAATACTTCCCTCAAGAGGTGATTCTGACAGGTGGTAGGAAGCCCATACTTTAAGAATCAGTGAACTAAATTATCGTTAATTATGCTGCCAAAGATGAACATTTGTTATTTAAATCCCTTTTAAGCCAGTTTAACATCCACAGTGCTAAAAAGTTTTGCCCAGATATAAGGATTTCAAATCTTTGGGAAAAACCGCATAAAATAAAAATAAACACACAGAGGCAGGATGAGGAACAAATAAAAGCATTATGTACTGATTTAGTGAATTGGGGAGAATCTTAAAAAGATGATTTTTAAGTATGGAATATTCTGGACAGTCAAGTCCAGTAAATAATGCAACAGACACCCACATATGTGGATTAGCAACCAAAAGTAACAAAATTTGTCTTTAAATTTTTAAACTTACAACAATTCCCGCACAAGATTCTCTGTGTTGCTGATAATCTTAGCGAAATCTGATGACCTGTGGCTCATTTCTGTGGAAGGAAAGACAGATAAGAAGGAAAAAGTTCCAGTTTAAAACCAAACAAACAAAAGTTAACTACTGATGTAGCTACAAAATTTACAAATAAAATAATAAAGGGAAATGTCAGTTATTTTGCATTCAAAATTGTGGGTCACATTTCCTATAAGGGAAAATCCAAATTGATTTTCAAACTGCAAACATTTTAGCCTCACAGTCAGAGCACAATGATTTTTCAAGTGGCAATATTCATTGAATGAGCCATTTATTAATTTATCCTTCAGTTTCTGATTTTTCACATCTTTCTCACAAACAGGAATCCGTGTGCAAAGGCTGCCTTTTAGGACAACAGCACAAAATTGCACAGTGTGCTCTCACTTAACAGAAATCTAAGAATATGTGCCAAATCCACAGGCACAAAATTTAACAGCAATGAGCACACAGTGAACCCTATGGTGCCTTAACACTCTGCAGCCTTTGAAACTACCAAAAAAGAAAAAGAAAACTAAACTTTAAAAAAGTAAAATTTCAAACTCAAAGGTCCTCTTTTTCAATAATATAGGGGAGAGAAACTTAATGAAACTTAATATGCAAGATCTTCATAAAAGACATGTATACTTTGAAATATTTAATGAGTTCACGTGTAAGTACAGCAAAAGCTGTAAAATGAATGTGAAGCAATGTTGTAAATGTTTGGACACTGTTATGCAAATGTGCAGTATCTTCTGATCTCAGATCTTACTACAGCAAAAACTAATTATGGAACAATAAGCTGAGATGCGAACCCCTCACCAGCGTTGATGTTGATTTCAAAACTGCTTCTATCAAACATGTGATGGAAGTTATTAAAATTTAAAAATATATCTGCAAATGCCTGTAGGAAGACTCAGTAGAAACTGTAGGTTTGATGTTGCATTTAAATCAGTTCTCTCTGAACTCTGGACATTCACAGAAACCAAAAGTATATCTTACCAAGAACACTAATCCCAACTCCTTTGTAGTCTAATAATTCTTTTTGTACCTCTAACAATACCTAGGAAAAAAGAAAAGAAAAGAAAAGAAGATGATTTCAATATGCTGTGCACAACTCTCTCTGGACATACAAACCCGGGAGGGTGAGGGGTGGGTGGAGGATCCACTCACCAGGCCAGTGAGGAAGCTTCTGTCCCTGCCAACAGCCAATTCCCTTCCTCTTCCTGTTCCCAGAGCCCTGATGATGCAACTTACACTCAAGTTGAGTGTGAAATTATGCAATGTGACTAATGCTAAGATACAGTTTTTTCAAAGGCATGAATTTACCTAGACATAAAAATCCACTTGGACTTTTAAAAAAAAATCAAGCATAGAATTTTTCTGATAACAATTCCTTAACTGTCAACTTAAGACCTTTGGGGAAATTCTGATTCCCTAGAAAATGTCCCCTTCACAACTCTCTGAAAGAAAAAGCACAAAAAGCATAAAGTTCTGGGTTCAGAGAACAACAAAAAAAATCAGTTAGGCCCAGATTAAACTGATAACTCACTTTTCCATTTTTTGGTCTACTGGGATGGGTGGGGTGGGCAGGAATTATGAAGCACCTGCTGTGAATTAAGATTTGGCAGGGATATTGATGTACTGATCTCTCTCCCCAACAACAGCCATGAAGGTGATACTCTCATCCCCAATATGCAGATGAGGAATCTCAGCTGAGGCTCTAAAGGTGACAGTTGTATGCCCCTGCCTAGCCCCTTGACCCATCTTACAAGATCACTGAAACCCTATAACCACATTTTACCTTACTGGGACCCATCTAATGGCCAGTCCCCCGGTGCCAGGAAAGGTGGGGAGGAGGGACATGGCTCAGGACTTCCCCCTCCCCCTCAAGAAAACACAGCTTGCTAGGGAGGCACCTCAGTGTTTTTTTCCCAAAGGCAAGTAAAATGCAAATTACTACACACTGAAAAGAAAAAGACCTGTTATTTATTTATTTGTTTGTTTGTTTATTTATTTATTTGTGTGTGTGTGTGTGTGTGTATACTTTTTTTTTTTGAGTAAGAAGAATAGAAAGCCCTTATCAGAGATACATGCTGAAGTGTTTAGGAGTGAAATGACATATCTGGGATTGGCTTTAAAATAATCCAGGAGCAGAACTGGAGAAAGAGGGTATGGGGGAGGGGTACTGAAACAAGACTGGCAAATGTCCTTAGTTGTTAAATCTTGCATGGATCCATGGATTTCATTATACTATTCCCTCTCTACCTTTGTGTGTGAGAGAACTGCCACGAAGTAAAAAAAGAGAAAGAAAAACTCGAAAAATGTACATAAAATAGGTGAGAAGCATCCTGCCCTCAAAAGAGGTTCCCTTAGAAGATCCAAGCTAAAGAAGCCCTCATAAAACATAGTCTAAACTGGATTACAACTTGTCTGAAAAAAAAAAACATTTTAACAGTAAGGAATTAGACCAAAATAAGTTCCCCTGACAAGAAGGTTCAAGAATTTGTCATCGTTTTTGTAAACTGCTAGATGCTTAGTAGCACTGGCTGATCAAATAAACTTTAGCAAATCCTTTCCATTAGTAACAGAAACATCCATCTCTGCCAGAGCCATCTTTGAACTTCTGTCTAGGCTGTATTTCTCTTATAGATAGTATTCTCTGAAAAGACATCTATAAAAGTTTATAATCAAGATTATTATAAAGACTTTTAAAGACTTCTACCCATAAAGCACACCCCTCTAATCCAGCGGAGTTTACTTTTTTCAAACTGCAGACTGCAATCGCTTTCGTGGGTCACAACTAATTTTTTAATAAAATAGAACAGACTAGAGTGGAACAGAATACAAAATTGTGCATGTCATAGTTGATTAGGCTAAATATTTCATAAGGTTCTCGTTTAAATTATAATTATGTGCAGGTACCTGGTCGTCTTGTGAAATATACTTTTCACTGTGGTTACAGCCCAGAAAAAGTCCGAGAAGTACCTCTAATACTTATAATTCAACTAAACCAAGAAGACACATAAAACAGCAACATTTGCTCCCCAGGTTAGAGAGCACATATGGGGGCATAAATTCTCCCAGGGAAATAAAAATCAATAATTGTTTTACTGATGACAATCACCTTTATTTTAAAAAGCCCGAACAGATTACACATTAAACAAATACACTGAAGACTCCAAAACACGGAGAGGGAAAAACCGTGAGGGTAGAGTAAACGCTGGCCCAGCTCTGGGACGGAATCTCGCCTAAAATGGACCGCAGTAACCAGGAAAAAATAATCCCTGTTCTCTCAGCTACTTTGAGCTCAGCCCCTAGAAAAGCAAAATGTCCTTTTCCTTCTAAAATTGTGAGATTCTCTGTTCTTACCACAACACAGAGAAGGCTCTGTCCCAGGGAGATTTCCACTCTGTTTTTAACAATAGATAATTGTAAAGCACTTGGCTATGACCCATGTTGCTACAACATATTATCAGTCATCCTGGATAGAAAAATAAAATTATAACAGAGGGGGCAGCTGCTCAACGCGTTCAAGGCACATTAGAGATCTGGCCTCTTTCACGGCTGGGGGTGGGGCGGGATGGGTTTTGGGGGTAAGGGGAGGAGCAGGAACCTGGTTGGGGACTGGGAAGGCAGGGAGTGAGTTCCACTTGCACTAGAAAAAGTCTAGTTATGGCTCAGGGGAGAACTGAATCATTCATTTGCTCCAGAACAAAGTGAAGCGAACTGGGCGAGCCGCCCAATGCCTACCAGAGTTTGACTACTAGAATGCCTTTAGGGGACACGCCAGTTCAAAAAAATTATACGCGTGAAACAGAGGGGAGAAAAAAGGTTTTAGGGACGGGTAGTCTCTGGGGGACAAGGAAGGAAAGGCTGGACAGGACTAAAGGCTTTTAAATTAACATTTCTAACAAGCAATGTTCCCAAGTGCTGGCTACACCAACAAGGGGTCGTGCGTGGACCTCCAGTATGCAATCCCCTCCAGTCAACGCGATCCCCATTCACCATTCATTCAGCGTCCATTCACGCATCCACTCAACACTGCCTGGTTCGCAGCACTGCCCAGCAAGGCGAACGCAGAGAGAGCTTTTTCTTTTCAGCCGCGCCCCCGGCCCGGCCCGGCCCCACCTGGGAGAAGGCACGGCGTGGGAGTCTGCAGGTGCGCTGAACAGCACGCCAGCATGCCCTGGCTGGCCAAGTTCTGCAACGCGGTGCACAGCTGCACAAGGAAGCCTTACGGAGCTTCCTTTCTCAATGAATTCTTCCAGAGGCCCACCTGAACTGGCGTGCACGCCCATTCAAGGCGTTTGGGGGACTCGGGGCGAGGAGAAGGTATCCCGGCGCCCCGCGCAGGGATGCACAGCCACCCGCGCTCCTGCTCCCGCCCGGACCGCACTCCCCGAGCATGCCCTCGGGGACTTACCGAGCGCGGCAGCTTGGCTGGCCCAGGCCCGAAGTTGACCACCTGCATCAGGGAGTCCATGATGCGACAGCTGGGACTGCGAGTCAGCTGCAGAGTACGGATCGCGTGTGCAGCGCGAGTCTGAGATCGGCGCCGACTCTCTGCCTTCTTTCAGTGCCTAGCCGGCGCCCCTATTGGCCCGCGCTGTCGCTGGCCCTCCGCTGATTGGTTCGTGCAACGGGGCTCTCATCCCCATTGGTCGTGCTCCCCAGCCGAGGCTCGGGAGCAGTTGCTCCTCCTCGCGTTTACGTTTTCAACCCCTTTTTAATCAATGCAAGGCGCGCGGGAGATTGCACCAGCCAGGCAACTCGGCTGCGCGCCCGCCCGAGAATCGTGGGCGGCGAGAAGAGGCTGCTCCTGCCAGCTTACGGTGGTGCTTCTGCACCCTTGTTGAGGCCGGTTCCAGTTCTCCAACCATGACTCCAGCCCCATTCTCTCGGCTGCAGGGGGAGATGCGAAGTAAACCACGCCCCCTACCCTCACCCACGTCTAACCACATCTTCGCCAGACCCTGAGCTGGACTCTGATTAATTTGTTTGAATCAGTGGCCATTAATTCACCAAACTGTCCTAAGCACCCCCATGGGCGCCATATACTCCAGTGGAGAAGCAGGGCCCCCAAGGATGGAATTGCAGAGTGAACTATGAGCCAGGGGTGGGTGAGTAGCTGGGGAATGACGTTCTTTGCATGTACACAGGGGCCAAGAGTTCCAGCGGGATTAACGGACGGAGGCGGCCAAAGACCACGGTGAGAGGTGCATTGGTCTGGGAAGCCTGGATGCCCCCTAGACAAGTCCTTTTAGGTTGCTCATTCTCCCTTTCCTCTTGTGAAAAGAGCTAGCTGGAACCCGGCAATACATCTCAGGTTGCTAGGCGCTGACAAGCTGTGAGTTTAGAAACGTGAGGAGACATTAACAAGAACGCAATACCCCTGGGAAGTCGCAGCCCAAGCCAGGGGAGAGGCCCAGAGCCAGGCCGGGCGCAGGGCCAGCGTGGTTCAAATTTTTCCACAGAAGTATTCCTCTCAAAAGAACTCCAGTGGAGACGCACACGGGGCTCGGTAACAGCGAGACCCCATTCCCATTTCTTTGAAGTCTGGAATTTCATCATTTTTTTTAAAATGTGAATTTTGCCTTCGACTCCATAATTTAACCTAGTTTCTTATAAAAGTATTTTCCCAGATCTCTGAGCAAAAGTGATGCGCCAGCAATACACACAGTGCCTACCCTAGGGCTGTCCATCATAGCGGTCACAGCGTCAACTACCCCGGTTTGAAAAGGCTTGTAAACTGACAGGATTATGACTTTTGTTTGCTTTTTGTGGTATGTGGGAGGATGGATCTGGGATCAGAGG